ATTTGTAAATTGAATAATGTAGATTTCTTTTTTTATTTTAAACTAGATATTTCGAGTTACTTGTTGGAAAAGATCGCAAGAGACATATATGGTATTATTGTGCTCTCCGCTTGCGTAAGATCTGCAAAACAGAATCATGTCCTTACTCTCTGACGATTGGGAGTTGCACTCAGGCACTCGTCGAAAACACTGTTCGTTGACAGGACAGTTTGAATTTTGGCAAATAGGAAAATATATTTCCCTTTGTTTACATTTTGATATTTGATGTAATGTAGTACATCATGTACTTAAGTGTACTACACTTTTTTGTAACCTTGCTAACAACTAAGGGGTATAACTAGTTATACAAAAAACGGTATACAGCAAACCTCAGTTCTCCCACTTTGTAAATAGCAGATCGTTTCTGATATAAGATTAATACAGAAATGAACTCCTACATTTATGCATTTATTTAGCAAATCAGACAATTAGTTTCTTTAATTAATCACGTACTGTCTGTAAAATTCGTAAGTACAACTCTTTCTCAAAGCATTGGAATCTGTGAAGATTAATATGACAGCCATAGTCAAAAGAATTACCGTGGAATGGAGGCACTAAGCATGCCAAAGAGCACTCTCTCAACGTAGTTGGTTCATATCTGATGCGAATTCCGAACGGTCCAATGGGGTAGCAATTGTTACAAAACAAACCCATTGTTCAGCAAATACCGTAGAGCGAAGACTGACATCATTGCAGTTACCGCTTTTGAATTAAATAGTAATCGGTCTATTCATAAGGCTCTTTTTCTTTAACATTTTGATCTGCGAAAAATGTGTTCAGCCGGGGACAAATTGCATTGAGTGCATCAATAAAAGAAATATTTACGCAGGATAACTTTTTCTCGTTTTATGAACCGGCGGTTTGTTCTTTCTGTATATAAAGCGTATAAACTTTCGTGATGTGCACCATTTTCTCGAGCTACATTTGTCCGTTGTGGACTCGTTTTTGTATTAGTATGAAGGGTTCTTTGCTAACGATGATCCAACGTGGTCCTTTCGAATATTGTTGCATGGCATACCGATACCTTGATGATATTTTTAACTAAGGTGATACTTTTATGATCAAATGGTATCTAATATCTATTCTAAAGAAATTTTACTACATGATATTACAGTCAATAATAATAATATTCACACGAAAATCTGAAAATCTATGATTGTTCAATTATCCATATTAAGATGAAGATGTAACTCGTGCGTCATTTTACGGTGTATATGTATTCCACTTAATTAGATTTTCCAGGTCTTGTAGCCATATAAACGTTTTTAGCGGATGGAATAGTTTCATTAATAGCATACTTCTCAAACATTGCTACCGCTATCATAAATTACGAAAATAGTTTACAAAATTTTAATAAGGTTATTTCGATTTAAACCAAAAAAATCATTAGCGACTTTATAACTCTTCTGCGACTAGCGATTAGCAAACTTGAGTTCTATAGATCTATAGATGTGATCTGCAAACATCGAAATATATTGCGGTCATAAAATTAAGAGAAGGACACTAATCAAAAACAATCTGCATAGGTTAGAGTCCTTTGGTGACTAAAACAATAACAATTGTCCACATCGTAGAGATTGAAACAGTCTTAATACAAGTAAACAGTAAAGTTTTTTTTCTTTCTGGAAACATAAGTCATATGTAAGCTTTTATATAGTGTATTGGGTATTTTTTTCCAACAATTAAATGTTTCATAATAAACGAGGCAAGAGAAAAACTTTGTTTAAAACTTGCAAAATGTAAAAAGATTCGCCATTGCCACTTTGTACTGTTAATATAGTTTTATTAGGATTGAATTGTCGATGAAACATTTACTATCCTGAAAAGATGAATACACGATAAAATGTTATATATATGTATATCAATGAATTTGTTTAAAAGGCACATACGCTTTATTTAGTGTATTCTTCTTTTCAAAAGACATGATGTTTTCCTAGTATACAGATTATATATATTTTGTTAGAGCTAAATTGATATAGATATACTTGTAATTACCCACGTTTCCACCTTTTCATTGAAGTTGGGCATGATAAGATTGCTCGATTGTGTAAACAGCTGTATTGTTACATACCGTTTTGTGTAGCAGAGGAACTTTTGTGAAATCTGAGTATTTAAGAAAAAATGGTCTAAAAATATATTTCAATGCACAAGGTAAACAAATTGTCCGAGAACAATTGTGTATTGAACAAAAGAGTATTTGGTTATGTTTTTAATAAAATTCGGGAATATAATATAATATATATATACGAGGGGTGATCAAGAATTACGTAGACTGGTTCAATATCTTTGAAACGGACCCATATAAAATATTTTTATTTATATCACTGTCGTGACCTATCTGTTTGCCATTTACAAGGAGCTGTAAATCAGTCATGCATTACTCAGAGCAGAATAACTAGCATAATTCAGTAGCTATAGTAACGCGTTACCGGCCCAGGTGCTATTTTTATATATAATTGCTTTATTCAATGCATTATAATTTCGACATAACAGTAAAATGCGGGAATATGTTTTCGGACGTTTGTATGATGTTGCATAAAAATTTGACATCATTTTACGTTAGATAAGGAAAATAAACAACGTTTAAACCATAGTAGTCCGTTACGCAGCTACGTTAAAAATGACATCACAAGAACGCCTTGAATTGCGTGCCAACATAAAGTTCTGCATCGAATTAGGTGAAACGCCTACAGTTCTAGCGATTCTCTGAAGGGCGGAAGTCACTTGAAGATGATGATGGGCGTGGAAGAAGGTTGAGCGTCAAGCCGTCAGATGTAACGTCAATTGAAGATATTATCAAGAAGGACGCAAGAGTGACCGTTCGAGAGATATCAGAAGTAACTGGGATGAGCTATGGAACCACGCACACAATTATCACCAAGGAATTGAACATGCGAAAGGTATTTTATGTGCATCAACTTATGTTTTGTTTTTTTAATCACTCTACAACCTATATTTAGTTTCGAATATAAAAATCCAAATTTTCCGCGCTAATTTATGATTTCGCACGTATTGTTATAAACAATAAAATGCATGGATACACATTTGTTTCAAACATGCTGCGTAATTCAAATTTATAAACAATGTATCAAAAACTTAAATAATTTTACAAAATACTTTAATATTTGCTTATCAAGTATAAACATTTAAAACCTTGCAGGTTCATGCCCGTTTGGTTCCTCGCGTCTTGACAGATGTGGAAATGAATAAACGAGTGCAGGAGTCCCGGCGACTTCTCCGACGCTTCAGATCGAACCCGGACTTCCTGAACTATGTGATCACGACTGATGAGACCTGGTTATATCTGAGAGATCCAAAAACCAAGGCACAGTCTGCTGTTTGGAGGCAAGCAGGGTCACCACCTGCAGTGAAAGCCAGTGTAGGACGATCTGCCGGAAACAGATGTACATGATGTTCGCCGACTGCAGGGGAATGCTTCTATGCCATGCAATGCCAGTCAATACCATCAATGCAGACTATTATTCGAAGGTTAAATATATTTATACATTTATTAAACAATAATGAAATAACAGTTACATGTATCCGTATTGTAACCGTTTTATTTATAAGATTTATTTTGAAATAATACTATCAATTAATTTAATCCTTTAAAACTATTTCTCCCATGATTTCATTAATTAAATCGAGCAACAATATTAATATAATTTTATTTAACGTGCAGATGCACAAAATAATACAAAACATGCATCAGAATAAAATACACAATTTAACAGGTGCTGAATCGAGATCTCATCCGGGCGCTGAGGAAGAAGAGGAGCGACATCCCCGTGGAGTGATTTATACTGCATCGCGATAAAGCATCCTCGCATACGGCAGCCTCCACACAGCTCACAATAGGTGTCATAGGATTTGAAATCCTGCCTCATCCCCCATATTCACCGGATCTTGCATCGTTTGATTTCTCGGTGTTCCCAGATTTGAAACACCAGCTGAAGGACCAGCGCTTTGAGAATTTGGCGGAATTACAGTCAGCGACAAACACCCTAATACGTCAGTATCCAGCAGAGTATTACAGGAATATATTCTTCTTTCAGTGGCCTAAGAGGCATGAACGTTGCATTGCATGTTCTGGCTCGTACTTTGAAAAAGAGTAAATGTCATGTGCCAGTTGACGCTTTTCCTTAAACACTTACGACGCTGCGACGTCGCTGACGTCAAGAGTTTTTTGACGACGTAAGCCGGTACCGCGATAGTGACACATTTTCATGGTTTGTTATTCCAAATTATGTAAACATATTGTAAAACAAAATTGCATGTTGTTTGTTGATAAAACGTACTTTCGTCTGATGTAAGTTTTATGTACGTTTGTCAAACAATAAATGAGGTATTGATCCAGTCTACGTAATTCTTGATCACCCCTCGTATAAATATGATAAAAAGTGCCGGAACAAGAAAAATTATACTAAAGAATAACTAACATTAACTGGATTTTCTCAATTTAATTTATTGCCTACCGGTTTCTATAATCACCAGGGCAAATAAACATAAAACCATAGTTACAATGTCATTTCACGTTATTTGTGTACACATGTGTACGCAACGTAAAAATATTTACAAAATGAAGTATGGACAAGTCAATTGCGAGGTTAATCATTTTTACATTTCAAAAATGTACGCTTTCTTGTACATTCATGAAGCACAATTATCCGTATAATGTTATCAATATCATATTCCCATGACCAAATCAACAACATAATTGTTCCTTTAATATGATTAAATAATTAATATACCAGTATTCATTTTCAGACAATTGTTTTTCTCCGTACGAATTGAAGTTATATTATATCTTTTAAATAAGGCATTTTTCTATCACAGATAAGAAGAAGCATAAATGACAAACTTTAAGAAGTCATTGTGTTCATCAGTTGTGATTGTTTTGGCGTTTAGAAAATTCCTCGTCTACCGATAAAAAACCGATTTTGTCACCATTTTTTTGGCACGTTTTACTATTTCTTTATTCATATTAGTTGTAAAAAGCAATTTTACTTATACGAACACGTTCAAGCGAGAACAAAACATGGCTAAAAGAATCTGATATATAAAACAATCATAAATTTAAATAAATAGAAAAATGAAATTAAATAACATCATTAAAGCATAATTAAAAGAATGGATAATACATTGCGAAATCCACTTTCCAATTCGTATGAACGTCTTTTTTTCTATTTCTCAGAAATCCTGGTTGTTTTCTCGCCTCCCGTTATAAATATTATAATAGAACTTCTTTTTGTATTCAGAACTACATATACCGATACGAATTTGAAAATATGTGTTTTTGAAGTCTCCCCTTCCATATTTATATGGTTGAAATTTTAAAAATTATCGATTAATTACCAAGGCAATGATTAATAGTATACATTTGTAATTAATTAAAATAATGGTGACTAATTTCATTTTGTATTTAAGTCAATAACTTTAGTAGAAAGAGCGTATCTCTTGGCCATGTGAGGCCATAGTTCCTCAAATTCCCCCTTTTCACTGGCTCCAGCCACCAAAAACGGACACGTCTCAGTTTCATTCTTATAGCACTTAATGGCAACTTGTCCATATAGTGTAAACCAATTGCCTTGTAAGCCAATATATTTTACACCAGGAACATTTCCAGGAACAAGTCCGTACAGATATACATCATCAACCCAAAAGAAAGGAGTCACCTTTGATGATTGATATAAAGCAGGAATAAGATCATTTGTGAAAAGTACCAAAAATCCAGAGCAATATTCTGTTGGGTAGGTATAAAATCCTCTAAAATGGTCATTGCTAACGTACCATTTACTGTCGTTTTTCCGGAGTATCTCCATAGTGTTTTTAAAGATATAATTGCAAATTATTGTCATGCTTTCTAATCGATACTTTGGAAAATAGACTTTAAACATTTTAAACATATCTACTGATATATCGTCATCAACCTTGAGAACAAGTTCGGCGTTTCGACAGCGGTCTGTAAGCCACTTATATGCCATTACACCTTTCAAAGTCAAATTGTGATAGTCATCAATAAAGTCACCTTGAAGCAAATCGGCATATCGTTCAAACTCATCTTTTATCTGATTCTGTATATTTGGGTCTTTCGGCATTCCTAATAGGAAAACAGTTTTCACGTTACCAAGGTGATAATAAAAGGCATCATTTGCCCAAGTATTCCGAATAGATAATCGCCTTTCCTTATGATCAGGTGATGTATGCACTATAACTATGATATTTAGATTACGAACGGACGAACATAGAGTTGGATTTTCAAGTTTATAGGAAGTTATAGATGATATAATTTTTGATGCATTAATAAACCGCTTAAAATTTGGCTTGAGTGTGATAGTACGTAAAATACGGTCAGGAATTTTGGCACGTGGATGATATAAACTTCTAAAAAGTTTCTTTTCGTGAATATTTAGGATGCTCTTTGTAAACTGTGCCGTTCGATTAGCGACGGTATCATTGCGTTTACCTGGAGATTCGTAACTTATTCCGATTAAAGAATTACCATCTTTAGGATAGTAGCCTTGATCTTTCTTCTGCAGTGTAAATTTTTGTCTTGTGGCGCTTGGTTTTGTGTCTGTTGTAGAATTTCCCTTTTCAGCTTCATTTATCTTCATTACATTGGCAGGCATTGCAACCGGTAATAAACAATGGCATTCATGCACGTGGCGTACCTCCTTCGGGACTTGCTTTTCGTTGTAGAAATTTACATTTTTGGCTCGTGTTGAAAATCTAATATTCGTGAACAGAATGAAAAATATGACGAAGAAACAAGACAATGAAACCAGAGTTTGTTTCCTTTTGAATGCAACTGTTATGAATTTAGGTAAACCTGCTGTTGCCGATGCCGGTTTATGACTTGTATACATTTTAGGCAATTTGTATTAACTAAAGATACAAAGGCCAATGTTATACATGTAATTGTTGATGTGTACGAGTTGAATAATATTTTGAAAACATTCAAAAACAAAACGTGTCACGCTGAAATAAAAAGAAAATTGTGATGTATTAAAACATATGTATGTTGCATTACAAGACATAATTGTCACAATTACATGGTAAATACATGATTTAATAAACTTTAACATGTAAGACAGACCATGACATAATCTTCCATGTTTTAGGGATTCTGTTTTTCTCTATTTTTTTTTCTCTTATTTGACATCAAAGAAAACATTATAAAAAGATAGCACGAACCATTTAAAGAGTAATTACTTTCTATTGCCATACATATGCTACTCAATTTAAATTGCAATGTATTTGCTACAAAATGAAAATAATAAACACATGGAATAAGTTATAAGTATCACTGCAATAACCTGCAAAGGGCACATTAAGTGGCAGTTCTTGTATTCAGAAAGGACCCTTTAGGATTTATAAACGTTTTTAAGCGGATTATTTAATACTTATCATCTGACGATAGTAGCGCAAATTTTTACAGAATTGGGCATGAAAGTAGAAAATGAGGAAATTGTAAATAATATGTTATTTTTACTTCTGTACAAAATACAAATAACTATAAATATACTTCTGACCATCAAGCTAAAAGAGGATAGTTTAGCTTTATGGTCGCTGAGTAGATTTTTGGGAACTCAAAAAAGCATTTGTGGGGCTTAACTTGCCTTGAAACGGTGTTTCAAGACCATATTTCGGCGTTTTCATTTATTCGAGCTGATTGCTTATCTAATATCTGTATGACGTCACGTTACGAGATTTACGTCGTTGAAACTCTTAACAAACAAACAAAATAACTTATTTATTAAATGTAATTCAAACACAGCTGCAAAATGAATGATTTATGTGTTTCTGACACATAAACTAAGTACAATGATGTTTTTTTTTCGTCTGGAACCTGTGTTAAAGATAATTAAGTTTAAGATTTTTTATAGAGTGACTGGACTAATGGGAAGAAATACATGTTTCCAATTGTAAATGAGGAATGTAATAACACTTGTGCTTATATATCAATATATTTTTATAACAGTGCTATATCCTTTATATGAACCCACAATTAATTTGTATGGTTAAAGGTAGACAAAATATTAATTTTGGACATTCATTTTTTACAAATTGTCGAAAACCAAATGCTGTTTAAAAATTGAAAAAAAACAACAACATTGTTTACGATATTTTCAAAAACACAAGAAAGAAATGTAAGACAAGTTTAAATAAACGTTAGGTACTTACCTTACTAATAAATTTTACAAAAAGTGTCCTTGTCAAACAGCGTAAATATAATTATGTTTTACTTTGGTAACCAATAAGGTATTGCTTAAATACACCTACGTGATGCATCAGTTCAGAAACCTTGCATTGTTTAAAGATAATACAAATCAATTTACCTCGTAACCACGGGATATAACCATTTAAAGATAAATTTCTATTTGCATTGATTCTTGAAGCAGACGAAAACATGTTGAATATTGTATCATATATCATAAACAAAAAGTTGAAACAATGAGGATAAAGTTCCGTACTAACGGGGAAATAAAACGGAGACGATGAAATGTAATCAAGATGATTATTAATATAATGTTTGTTGATAACAAAACATCAAATGCCGTCAATGAATGAAAGTTTTTTTGTTAGGGATACTAAATTTCTTTTTTATACCTTATATAACCGTATATATCTAATTTTTTAGTTTTCATTTAAAGAAGAAATTGCAATTTCATAGGGCACAGATTGCCTGTCTGGTAAGTACCGGGCATATGATGGCAATTAATCATGACATTTACCGCAAGTCAATGTAAAAGCAAACAGCTTACGGTCGAAAATGTCTGTTTATCGTACTCTGCGGGTTAAATGTTTTTATTGCATTTACGTATAAAACATTGTCATAATTAAACGTTTTAATGTGTCAGTCATATACGTTGGATTCCAACTTTGATCATGTGAGCATTTAAATTTTATAAACTATCTACAAACGATGCACTGATATAACTTTTTGAAAGGTAGGATACACCATTTTGACCTCGTATAAAGACCATGTCTTAAACACCTCTACCGATTTCAAATCCTAACAAACGGAAGATGTCTATGCATTGGACATACAAATATATACACATACATGTATAACTTGATCACTAAGTTTATAATGCTAACATGAGAAATCTCCATTTTCTTGAGCCAACAGTTTAAACACCATTTATCTGATCCAATACAGATTCGTTTTTATACACGTTTGGGTGGTCTTCTCTGCACAAAATGACGCCCAAAGCCCTAACCCAAGCAATATGTCCTGGCATGGTCGTTTTTGTTTGTTCCTGCGATTTGTTCTTTCTGTATGTAAATTGTATATAAAAAAACCCACCATATTCCTCAACCAACCGTTTAAACACCATTTAACTGATTCCAATGCGGATTCGATTTTGTACACATTTGGAGGGTCTTCTTTGCACAATATAAAGCCCAAAATCCTAACCCGAGAAATATGTCCTAGATATGCCCGAGCGTGATGGTCGTTTCTTTATTTATTCAGGCGATTCGTTCTTTCTGTATATAATTTATATAAAAACACCATTTTCCTGAGCCAACAGTTTAAACACTATTTACCTGATTCCAATGCGGATTCGATTTTGTACAAGTATGGAGGGTCTTCTAAGCATAATATATAAAGCTCAAAGCCCTAAGACAAGAAATATCTCCTAGAGATTTCCGCTTGGGATGGTCTTTTTTTGTTCAAGCGATTTGTTCTTATATAAAAAACACCATTTTCCTGAGCCAACAGTTTAAACACCATTTATCTGACCCCAATGGTAACATTTTTAGTATGTGTAAATAGATTAAAAGACCAATTCTCCCTCTTGGTATACGGCAGACATTTTTTTTCTAATATAAAAATTAGTTTAAGTTGTTTATAATATTGAACAAAACGCATTTTCTGATTTGATATAAAATACAAATGTAAGTCTTACATTTATGCATTTAAACAACAAACCAGAAATGAGTCACATTCATTAATCAGGTACTGTCTGTAAACTTCATACGTACAAATCTTTTTCAAAGCATTGGAATCTGTGAAGATTAATTTGAGAGACATAGCTAAAAGATGCATATTGACGTAGAATGGAGGCGCTAAGTCTGCCAAAGATCACTTTCACAACCAAGTTACTTCATGGCTTACATGTATCTATAAAACGAATCCCACACGGTCCAATGGTTAATTTGTTACAAAACAAACCCCTTCTTAGCAAATACCGTATAGCGGAGACTGCCATCATTCTAGGTTTATACGGTCGGTTTGCGGGTTAGATGCATTGAGTGCATCATGTTGTCACAGTGCTTAATATAGATAATGAATATATTGAGTCGAAGTCAGTGGTTGTTGAAAAAAGGTTTAATCTGTAAATGTTTTTGTTGTTTTCTATGTTTCACACCGATTTCAACATATTAAGATACAAAGCGAAAATGTAATATTGAAACCGATTTTAATTTACCAGTCAGCTTAATGGAAAACGCAGTGACAAGTTGCACATGTTGCCGGGGAGACGAGACTATGGCACATTGATTAAATCATAATTGGTTTTGGAGTTTCGGAGCCAGGCAAGACATTCCATAAAAAAGTCAAGAATTTGAATACTTAAATTACGGCCTACAGGGCAAAAATGAATAATTCCATTAAATATATTTATAAAATAAATACGAGGCTCGTAGTAATGATGCTTTTAGTATTCCAGAAATTGTCTCCAAATTTCAGTTGAGTAGGCAAAATACCTCACAAAGGGGAGCCTAAGGAGCAAGCCCATCCGCCATGCCCTTTTCTGGTTACATTTATATAGAATTAAAATAATATATATATGTACGATCCCCGGAACAAGTACGTGGACCCCTGACTGGTAAACAGTATTCGGGATATGTCTTAAATAAAGAATCTTTTATTCAGAAAAGAGTCTATTTTACGGAAAAAAACGAATACCCGACTGAATGGCGATTCCTAGCATGTTTTTGAAAAGTTAATACTTGGACTTGGAGTTTCCTTCCGAATTGAACACAAAATAAAATAAGTGTCTGTACTGTAGCAGAATCATTTACATGGACTTTCCACAACGTTCATCATTATACGAAAAAAGAAATACTCATATTTCCCGAAGAAACATTCTATGCTTGTGTTTCTTACAAGACGGAGCGGGCTCTACATCTTAAACCAATACAAACGCAGTAAATATAAGAAATGATTGCCTGGATCGGTATTTTTACCGCCATACGCACGTCACAAAGAAGTCATGTTAGTAGCAAATACATGTACATATATGTAGAGAAAAAAAGTATATTTGAATGAAAGGGAAACCGTGTGCTTGAATAATCAGATAAACACGCGGTTTAACTTTAAGAAGAAATAATGATTCTTCCTTAGGAGACATTCTGTGTCTTACTTACTTACTTATGTTCCTTACTAAATTCAGTGGGCTCTACTCTTGATCCCATAACAAATATGAAATATTATAAAAATTTTGGCAGCAGAAAATTTGATCTTGAACGTCTTTTCTGCCGCATACAGATCACAGAAAGTCACATGGGGTAGGCACCATGTTGCGGTCAGTTCAAGTCACTGCATTATAAATTTCCGTAACAGCAACATTGCTTTTACTTGTAGATAATTCACAAACAAAATTATATCATCTCTAAGTTATAATATTTATTAGTATATTTTTTCATTGGCTAATTACACCCAATATTGATTTAGTTGTTATTTTAATAAACATGGATATTTTGATGGTTTAGCAAGATTTAATAAAAATTGTCTGTGTTTTTTAGGGGGAATTATCGTTAATGTATTGCCTTTCTTTTACTCTATTTTTTTATGCGTTGGGCTAATGTTTGTGATGCGCTTATTTATAGATACAGTATATACTTTAAATGGTATAATACATAAAAAAATATCACGCAACGTTTTTCATTTGAATAGATTATTTTCTTTCTTCCATTAAAAGCTTTACCGTTTTCAAATCATAATAAAATATAGGTTTTAGTCAGCAGGTGGCTAAAGAAGCAACATTAATCCACATCGTTGATATTGAAACAGACTTAATACTAATTCAATTCTTGTGGAAACATAAATCATATACATATCGTATATTTTTTTATAATGAATGTAAGGCATTCAACTATCAATTTTGACTTCTACAATTCAATGATACGTAAACAATGGAGGTAAGAGAAAACTCACTTTGATTAAAACTTGCAGAATATTAAAAGTTATTAGGATTGAAAAAAGCAATGAAAACATTATTCTGGGTAGACGAGTACACGATTGAATGTTACATAGATCAATGAATTTGTTTTTCTTTTACCAATACAGATTAGAGCTAAACTGATACATTTGTTATATTAATTTTCCACGCTGCAACATCTATTCATGGAAGGCGGGCATGTTACGACTGCTCGATTATGTAAACAGCTGTATTGTTAGGTTTTCAAAGGCAACGGAACTTGTTGTGAAATATGAGTATTTAAAATGATCTAAATCAGTAAATAAGAAAGTTCGATGCACAAGTAAATAAATAATCCGAGGACACTCGGGTATAAAACAAAAGAATATTTGATTAAAAATGAATAAAAGTCATTAGATTTTCTGATATATTGACTGACACTCATATTTTTAAGGCAGTCTACCATACCAATTTAATAAATATTCCTGCGCTAAATTATTATGTTGAAGAAAGATTTATAACCCTTTTGCCCTTTGCTTGCAACATATTTAACCCTAGTGGCATGTGAAACCCCAGAATAAGCAGGCACCCCCTGATCATGGCCTGCACTGTTCATTGTTAGTCACTCGATCCGTTCTTATTTTGATATTTTCCTAAAAATTTTTGACAGATATTTTTTATAATTGAAAGATAGACAAGTCCGTTGGAAAAAAAATATCGTTGTGAGGGTTAATTATCGTTATCTTTTAAAGATGTAATCATTCCAGTACATTCTTGAAACACAAATGTCCGTTTTATGTTATCAGTATCATGTTCCTATCACTTAATCAAAAAATAAATATACTCCTTGATGAAAAAATTAAAATACAGCTAGACATTTTCAGAAATTGATTTTCTCACGAATTAAAGTTATATTATTTCTTTTAAATAAGACATTTTCTATCACAGATAAGAAAATTCATAGACGAAAAATTTAAGATCATATGCTCATTAGTTCTGATTGTTATTGCGTTCAGGAAGAGTCCCCTTCATTGCTATCAAAATATCTAAAACGATTCTATTACCGATTTCTTTTATATATATTATAATTATTTTAATTATATGCATAGGAGAAAGAATTGAGCTTTTGAAAGGCACGTTTTTTTCTATTTTATTGATATGAGTTGTAAAAAGGAAGTTTATTGATACGAACACAATTGTACAAAAACAAAGCATCACGACATATATATTAGGAAAAAAATCTTATATATAAAACAATCATAAAATAAAATTAATAGAAAAATAAAAAAGACATATTATAAAATGAAATGATTTATAAAAATGTAGAACACAAAAAATGTTTATCGGTCGCCATGTAACAACCAATATTACAATACCATTGCAATGTCAACTTCTCATTTCGTATGAATGTTTTGTTTGTTTGTGTGTTTTTTCAACAGTACATATACCGGAACAAATCTGGAAAATATTTTATTGAAGTCCTCCCTTTTTATCGATATGGCAGTAATAGCTAATAATCTTTTACAATTCTTTTTACCGATTAGATTTTATTGAAACATTATCGCATGGTTTGGAATGTTTTCTTTGTTCTTACTAACAGATACTCGGTACACTTCAATGAGAATTTGAAAACTGTATTGACATATAGCAGTACAGTTTTTTCATTGATTCATATAGGAAAAAACTTGACTGCTATATAAAAGAAAAAAAATGGAATCAATAAAATAAAATAGATAAAAAAGCCCTTTTAATCTTGAATCAACATTGGTAACAGTTTACAATCCGCCTCTAACATTGGATGTCTTTTGTATTTTTTGCGGCAGCGAAAACAACTTGAAAAACCTGCCTTATCATAAATAGCTGTAATGTAGCTAACGACTTATTTATTTATTTATTTCTGTTACAAAAAAGAAAATATTATGCCATTGCGATAAAACAGTTATAGTATATGAAACTCGTGAGATACGAGGAAAAAACACTGGCTGGGCGACATCTCGGGATGTTTCTGCACAAAAATTGTCTTGGCCTTACGGCCTCGCCATTTTTTAGCAAAAACATCCCTTGATGTCGCCCCAGCCAGTGTTATATCCTCGTAACTAACTCGTTTCAATTACTATAACTATGGCGTATCGTGTCCAATCGAAGGTAGTGACTAAGTAATCCATTAAAATTATAGTCAAAATTTCATTTTGTATCTAAGTCAATAACTTTAGTATTTACAGCGTATCTCTTGACCATGTGTGGCCATAATTCCTCAAATTCCCCTTTAGCACCGGCTCCAGCCACCAAAAACGGACACGTCTCAGTTTCATTCTTATAGCACTTAATGGCAACTTGTCCACCTAGTTGATGCCAATTGCCTTTTAAACCAATATATTTTACGCCAGGAACATTTCCAGGAACAAGTCCGTACAGATATACATCATCAACCCAAAAGAACGGAGTCACCTTTGACGATTGATATAAAGCAGGAATAAGATCATTTGTGAAAAGTACCAAAAATCCTGAGCAATAGTCAGTTGGGTAGGCACCTAATCCTCTAAAATGGTCATTGCTAACGTACCATTTACTGTCATTTTTCCGGAGAATACCCATAGTTTTTTCTAAGATATGATTGCAAATTATTGTCATGTTTTCTAATCGATACTTTGGGAAATAGACATTAAACATTTTAAACATATCTACTGATATATCGTCATCGACCTTGAGAACAAGTTCGGCGTTTCTACAACGTTCTGTTAGCCACTTATATGCCATGACACCTTTCAAAGTTAAATTGTGATAATCATCTATGAAGTCACCTTGAAGTAAATCTCCATATCGTTTAAACTCCTCTTTAATCTGATTCTGTATATTTTGGTCTTTTGACTTTCCTAATAGGAAAACAGTTCTCACGTTACCAAGGTGATGGTAAAAGGCATCATTTGCCCAAGTATTCCGAATAGATAATCGCCTTTCCTTATGATCAGGTGATGTATGCACTATAACTATGATATTTAGATTACGAACGGACGAACATAGAGTTGGATTTTCAAGTATATACGAGGTGTTTACGGTTAAGACAATTTGTGATGCATTAATAAGTCGTGTAAAGTTCGGCTTAAGTGTAATAGAATGCAAAATATTGTCAGGAATTTTGGCACGTGGATGATAAAAGCTTTCAACAGGTTTCTTTTCTATAATATTAATGGTGCTTTTTGTAAATTTCGACGTAGACGTTCGATTTGCGACAGTGTTATTGCGTTGCCCTGGATATTCTTGTTTTGATTCGATCACAGTATTAACATCTTTATGTTGGTAGTCTTGATCTTTTTTCTGCAGTACATAAGTTTTTGTTGGTGCGCTTGGTTTAGTGTCTGTTATAGAATTTCCCTTTTCAACATCATTTATCTTCATCATATTGGCAGGCAGTGCAACGGTAACTAAACAGTGACATTCGTGCACGTGGCGTATCTCCTTAGGAACTTGCTTTTCATTGTAGACGTTAACGTGTTTTGCTCTTGTTGAAAATCCAATATTCATGAACAGAATGAAAAATATAACGAGGAAACAAGACAATGAAATTAGATTTTGTTTCCTTCTGCATGCAACTGTTATGAATTGAGGTAAACCTGCTGTTGCCGATGCCGGTTTATGACTTGTATACATTTTAGGCAATTATTTAACTAAAGCAAAGCTACAAACGCCAATGTTACAATAGTTGATGTGGACGAGTTGAAGAGTGTTTTGGCCGAATTCAAGGACAAATGTGTCAACCTGAAATATAAGAAAATTGTGATGGATAAAAAATGTATAAATTGCTTAACAAGATATAATTGTCACAATGGAAATATGGTAAATAAGTGATTTAATAAACTCTATAATATTAAAGTGTCTAGCGTAAGAAAGACCATGTCATAATGTTCCATATCATCCAGGTTTTAGGGAGTCTTTTCAGTACTTTTTTCTGTTATTTGTCATCAAAGAACAACTTCAAAACAGATAACATGCACCGTTTAAAGATTAATATACTTTGTATTGCCATACAAATGCTACTAAATTTGAATTGCAATGAATTTGCTACAAAATGAAAAAAATAAACACATAAAATAAGTTATGAGGTATCGCTGCAATAACCTTTATTTTTAAAGGCATTTTAGTATCAATTCTTTTTTTAGAAAGGGCTCATAAGGGTTTATTAACGGTGTTTACGCTAGATTACTTGATGCATATCAGCGGAAGATAGTAGCGCTAATTTGACAGAATTTGTCATGAAAGTAGAAAAATATAAACAATATGGTATTTTAACTGCTATACAAAATACTAAATCATTATAAATATACTTCTGACCAAAAATGAAATTAGATTAATGGTCAATGCGTAATTTGTTTTTCCAAACTTTTTTGAGAAACAGAAAAATCTATTTGTGGTGACTAATTGTCCTCTAACATGTGTTTCAAGACCATATTTCAGCGTTATCGTTATTCCTGATTGCTAATCTATTATCTTATACGGGATTTACATCGTTGAAACTCTTCACAAAAAAATGAATACGCTATTAATTAAGTGTAATATAAACACAGCTACAAAAATGAATAGCTGATTAATGTGTTTCTGTCACATAAACTAAGTATAACGATGTTTTTGTTGTAAATGATTATTTAGATTTAGAAGTTCTTTTCATAGAGTGACTGGACTAATGGGAAGAAATACATCTCTCCAATTGTTAATGAGAAATTTGATAACATGTGTGCTCACAATTAATATACATATTTATACAATACTACATGTATATCCTTTATGCTTAAGTTAAGCCCAATAGATACACTTGCTTTCAATTTGAAAATATTGTTGAAGGTAGACTTACAAATATTCTTTTTGGACTCTAAAACTTTCAATCATATTAATATTTAATTAATATATTTTTATAAAGCATATTGAATTTCTATCAAACACATACGACTCTGATCTTAGCAGCAATTTCGACAACTCGAAGCTTATAAATCTGCTAAGTTGTGTTTGTTTGGTTTGGTTTTACGGCACACCAACACAATTTAGGTCATATGACCCGAAACAGGATTGTTGATTTTGGCTTCAAGCTTTAAGCACACATGAGGTCAAAACCACCTCAACTGTTGGAGCTAAGAGATGCATAGACTCCAGTAATTCGCCTCTTGTGATCACACAGGGATAAACGGGGCTGCAATTTAGATGCTCCAACCGTTAAAGGCATTACCTCAGCGACAAGGGGTTATAAATCTTCTAAGAAAATATACTAATAACTGTTATATGTTATTCAATATTGAACTATAAATTATGTGTAACATTTCTACATAATTAAACATCGCTCCCTTTGCGTTTTGCTCTGCTAATGGAGGGTCAAATTAATCATTTAGAATGAGACAAGAGACAAGCAACTTTTGTTTGTGCTTGCTGAACGATCACATAAAAAAAACTTTCGGTTTCACAACCAAAAACATTTTTAATTTTATTAATTGTTTTGTCAATTAAGAATATGTTCTCGTAACATATTTGTGTATTTTCAGGCTCTCGCGACAACCTGCAATTGCCAGTGCAATTTTTGTTCAGTTTTTTTTATATGTTCTTAATTTATTTAAGGATATAATCATCCAAAAAGAAAATTCATCAGCGTCCACTTTAACAGTCGCTTGCAAAGGGAGCGTAACAGTCGCTACAAATAATAATAATAATAAAATTCATACTGATGGTGTTAGCTATAATTTAGACTTCAAATAAGCAAACAACAAATTCATTAAAGACGCCGGAATGACGTCATTTAAAAGCACGCGGCTCGTCTGACCAAGCGAGGGGTGGGGTGTAACATTGATAATATCTACCCGAGGCTTGCCGAGTTAACGAGCACGCGCAGAAGCCCAAGGGATATTCTGATCCTAACCGCGTACGTATGTCAGACAGTTTTTCTAGCGAATTATTCCATGTTTTAATTGGTTTACCTCAGCCAAATATTTTTGAATTGGAAATAACGTTTTATGATACCCGTTACTACTTTATCATAGAACCGTGTGTATAAATAACTTCATTCGTAACGGCGGAAAGACGGCATCCTTAGTACGTACTTAATCATAAAATGTGGCAAAATTGCGTCATTTTGTAGCACGCAACAGTCATACAAGATGAAATAAGGAAAAGACTAGTCTAAAAAGCATCAGAAAAATCCAAAACATTTCTCGGATTTTTACAAAAGCTTCCGAATAAGTTAGAAACTGTAAGCAACGGTTATTTCGACTGGCGTTGCCAACTAGCGTTTGCGTAACGCATTTATAATATACGTCCTCCGTTCGTCTGATATTATCCATGTATGTGATTTCTGCACTTTCCTATAGAACATAGTTTTAATGTGACCATGTTCTATAAATGGTGTTGAAAAGTAGTGTCTTAGAACTTCTTTGTCGCAAGTCGATGCCATCAGTTAATTGACCTTCACCTTAGGGTTTTCAATTTTCTAAATTAAATTTTTACCGAATTACTTACAGAAAAAAACTACTAGTATATTTCGTCTTAGATAGTAGCATCGAAAAAAGATGTGCTTTAAAAAATCAATATTTTTACATGGCTAAATTTGAATGACAATGATCGAGAATTTCACCATCTGATTGAATATACGTCCTGTCGTTTTTAAATCATTAGCCTACGTCAAACAAAATGCATTAATTCTTGAATTGATAAAATGCATTCAGAAGGTTACAAGAAATATTTATACTTTGCCCTCTTCTATTTTACATTAATGTGAATGCGGATATCCGTTGTTAGGAACGGAGATATATTTCTTGTTTGCGGTATTATAGCAATATTTGAATCAATGGTCAATATTTCAAGAATTTACAAAAACAATAGTGTGTACAAAAAAGCTAGAAGTAGAATAAAGTAAATGAAACTGTATTTTACTGCATTTTTGAAAACGATTTATCCTGCGTTTGGTGCAGACCTCGAGTGCCCCTCAAGTACCATCAGGTAGTGCCCCTGGAGTACCCCCAGGTAGTGCTCCTCAAGTACCCCCGCAAATTCCCCTCAAGTGCATTATATCAGTCAAGGGTGGATATCTTCTTTATACTTGCCGGAAAGCTTCATCAAAGGTTAACTTACAAGCATTTAACTATTCAAAATAAAAGTCCATTATCATCACTGACTTCCTGGGATGATTTCGCGGGCTTACCAAATCAAACGTACATATCATATTGTATCAAACAAATACAAAATGAAATAAAACTTAAGTTATAGAAAGTTTTGAAATTTTACAAGAAAAAGAAATCACCCGGCTCTGTATGGATAAAATCTATTTATGGCTCTTGAGCATTGGCTATGAGAAGTTTAGGTAAATTGTGTCCTGTAAGCCTAATCCGAAGGATACTCATAGAAAATAATAATAATATTAGTAATATCTTATTTCAGGTTGGTTAATGTAATTCTGAATTATACCTGTTTTACGTGTATCGCTTTAATAATTATACTCAAACCAGCTATGATTGGCATTCACCATACCGATGGCGCTATAATGGAAATCAAGGTAAAGCTGAGCCTCGGACAAAAAGGGTGGATTTACATTATGGGAGCTGGTTTGTGGACCTCATTATATAGGGTGGAGTGATATAAGGTTGGGATGTGACCAACAGCATAACGTCAATAACCCAAAATCGTCAATAAACCAAAATGACGTTACGAAAATTACTGAGATATAGCTCAATGTAGTTCAACATATTCTCATCAATTATTGTTTTTATTAGCATGGTAGAATAGAAATAGATATTATTTGTCTTGTATTATAGTATAATAATGAACGGATTATCGTTCAAATGCTTTGTAGTTAATCACTGAGGCCTATTGGCCTTCGTAATTATGTCCATTCGCATTTGAACTCGAACCGTGCATAAATCAGCAATGCACTAATATTATTTGATATCCATTCTTGAACAAATCTAATTTAAGTAGATATAATTCTAATTGAACTAAATTCAATTTTAAAACTACAATTATTTGTTTTTGAATATCTTTTAAAGAAAAAAGTACATATACGTTTAAATTAACACTAAAGCGCGTTTATAGAATTGGGTAAAGCGTTTAAGCGTACAATATTAATTAAGTTTAACAACATCAGTTGATGCAACTAAATATCATGATTTTGTTGAGATTTTATTATTATTATTATCATTATTATTATTATTATTATTATTACGATTATTATTATTATTATTATTATTATAATCATCATCATCATCATCATCATCACGATTATAATTATTATTATTAATATTATTATCTATACTTCGTCTCTATTTAGCCATTCTGCAGAAAAAGATATGGGTATTCAGCATTTAAGTAACTAGTTGAATAGGCAACACTAAATATGTTTACCTTAGTTAAATTAAAATCATGTGCCCAATCAAAAGAATCAAATCATAGTTTTGTTCCTATATCCTCAGAGTTTTTAATCCATATAAAACAATATTTTGATTAAAAAAATTTCTTCCATGTAACTGCCCAGTCGATAAGTTTATTTCAACAATAATCCTGAGACGTTTATTCTATATATTTTATATACATTGTCGCAAATAAATCATGTTTTAAAATGTTAAAACACATTCAAAACAAAAACCAAAAAAAGATAATTTTGCCAATCGGCGTTGTCAAATAGCATACATATATGTTTTGCTTTTTGTTTACCAATAAGGTAAAGAAGCTTGCCTCCAGATTCATGTTTATTTTCATGATTTTTTTTAATGTACGAAAAAGTAAAATATTGTCAAGTGAACAAAGAAAGTAATTTACATATTTCAAGCGGCACTTAAAATCTACGAAAATTACCAAAAAACGGGTTAGATTATGCAAAAGTTACGGAATGCCGTTAGGGCCATCGCCTATGGATGTCTTGATCTGAAACGCGATAGTCGATAGTACGATGGTGAAAACGCGAAATCACGAAACTACGATGGTGAAAACGCGAAAGTACGATGATGAAAACGCGATAGTCCGATGATGAAAACGCGACAGTACGATACTACGATGATGAAAACGCGATAAACTATCGTGTTTTCACCATCGTACTGTCGCGTTTTCATCATCGTAGTTTCGTGATTTCGCGTTTTCATCATCGTACTGTCGAGTATCGCGTTTCAGATCAAACCATTGATAGGCGTTGGCCCTAACGGCATTCCGGAATGCCGTTAGGGCCATCGCCTATGAATGTGTTAATCTGAAACGCGATAGTCGATAGTACGGTGGTGAAAGCACGAGCTCACGAAACTATGATGGTGAAAACACGATAGTACAATGTTGAAAACGCGATAGTACGATGATGAAAACGCAAAAGTACGATGATGAAAACACGACAGTACGATGGTGAAAACGCGATAGTACGATGATGAAAACACGACAGTACGATGATGAAAACGCGATAGTACGATGGTGAAAACGCAATAGTACGATGATGATAACACGACAGTACGATGATGAAAATGCGAAATCACGAAACTACGATGGTGAAAACGCGACTGTACGATGGTGAAAACACGATAGTTTATCGCGTTTTCATCATCGTAGTATCGTACTGTCGCGTTTTCATCATCGTACTTTCGCGTTTTCATCATCGTACTTTCGCGTTTTCACCATCGTAGTTTCGTGATTTCGCGTTTTCACCATCGTACTATCGACTATCGCGCTTTAGATCAACACATTTATAGGCGATGGCCCTAACGGCATTCCGTACTAACGGCATTCCGTAAAAAGTAGCAGTAAGTCACACAGTAGAAATATGGAGATAATTCTGCAAAATCAGTCATTAATTGCATATAACATGTAAATTATTTCTAGAATTGTTCTCTTAAAATTTCTCAAGGTTGATTTTCTTGAAATATTTAGGTCATCTTGAGGCGTGCAGCTTTGATTAAATACACCTACGTAATGCATCAGTTGAGAAACATTGCATTGTTTAAAGATAATACTAATCAATTTACCTTCTAACCACAGGATATAACTTTTTACAGATAAGTTTCTATTTGCATTGATTCATGGACCAGACAACACTTATTCAACATAATAATTATATCCGCTACATAAACAATAAGTTGAAACAATCAAGATAAAGTTACAAATTCTTGTAATGCGGAGAAACGAAGAAATAAAACAGAGACAATAAAATTTAATCCAGATGCTCATGAATCTTATGTTTTGTTGATAATTAAACATTTGAGCCGCGTCACGACAAAACCAACATAATGGGTTTGCGACCAGCATGGATCCAGACCAGCCTGCGCATCCGCGCAGTCTGATCAGGATCCATGCTGTTCGCTATCAGTTTCTCTACTTGTAATAGGGTTGGTAAGCGAACAGCATGGATCCTGATCAGACTGCGCGGATGCGCAGGCTGGTCTGGATCCATGCTGGTCGCAAACCCATTATGTTGGTTTTGTCGAGACGCGGCTCATTTAATATCGTCAATGAGTTAAAGTTAAATAGTGAACAGTTCTGAACAGTGACATTACCCCGCTATATTGAAATTCGTCCTCGAATCATTCAGGGTTACAGAACAATGTGAATTAAACTCTGATCTAAATATATATGCAGTCATGGTAACCCGTTGGATGCAAAATGTCACAGGGTGAGAAAAATATACATCCTGACAGGGACTCGAACCCTGTACCTTCGGAATGCCATTTCGCGGCTCTACCGGCTGAGCTATCCGGCCGCTAACACATATTTTTCCTTATACAGCCAATACTTGGTAATAATTTTGGTATCACCCCGGTACGGAATTAAACCCAACCGTTGTAGTCAAGAAAGTAGTTCTTTGATGGTCATAATTAAAGTGCATTTATTGCATCTGTGTAGTTCTTATATGATGACTTTAAAAGTTATTTTTGTTTTTTCTCCAGGACCTCATTTGTTGGCGGAAGGATTAAAGATGTACTAGCCGCCAGCAGTTAGAAGCTTCAAAAATGGTGAAACTGTGTTACACCAGCATGAAGATTTCTGAAAAAAGTAGATGGGTAACAATTTATTTCAACCAATCGTTATTTAGCGCCAACTACCTGTTCACTATAAACAGCCTACTGATACCGACATTTTACTATTTACTGTATTGTTGCCTAACAAAGTGAATACGTTTTAAGTAAGCTATTATTCTTACCTTACTTAATAATTTCATCGGACTGTACAAAATAAAAGTAGTTCGGCGATGGTTATTGTCACAAAATACAAGTATGGCAATAGCCACTTCAAACGTACTGGATGTCAGTGTGAGTCAATATCCGCCCGTCATAAAGCTGCAAATATAAAATTCAAAATTTTTTTATTTATGTCGAAGTACTGCCAAAGACGGCTGCTTTTATTGAATTTTAACCGTGAGCATAGAAAAAAGAACTACTACAAATCATAAAAATATATAAAAAATACATAAAATCGGAGTAATGTTTTTAAGAAACATTGTATATGTAAAACAGTCACGCACGCAAAAACATTAGGAACTACTTTTACGTGAAAAAAAAAACGTTCGAAAGTACTCTTATTAGGGTGATTACAATCATTTAAAAAACGATTCCTCCGCGTAGAACTACTTTTTTATTAATGAGTTTATAAATATAAAATTTAAAAATGAAAATAAAAAGAAAATAATGTAGAAATAGATAATTTTGAAGAAAATGATCGAAAGCGAAATTAATGAACAAAATGTAATTAAAAGCAAAGAAAGGTCAAAATCAAAAGAAACAAAACAGTAAAAAACATGATACAAGAATAAAATTCTTTGTCAAAGCAAAAATTGAATTGAATTATATAAACTGTTTTCTTTTTAAGATATGACACGAATTCTGGTAACATCGTATGAAAATATTAATTTGCTAACATTTATACCACAAACATACTACATGTATTATCTATTATATATAAAAGGTAAACTTCAGCTAAACTTGTCTGAATAACAAATACATCATTTTTACACCTTGGAAAATGTCAAGCGAACTGAAAAAACAACAACACGACTCAAGGCCAATGCTGTCACTTTTGTTGTTGTTGTTTTGTTGTTGTTGTGGTTTTTCAGGTCAACGTTATTGATTTATAATTCTACCTTATGTTCACAGAATCATTTACAATTACAAGTGATATGGAAATGAGAGGAAGCTATCCAGTTGTCATACAGAACGTCGGTGATTCTACGTCTTCTATATCAGTATAGCTGGAATATCGCCAAAAAAGTTTTACACAAAAAAAAAACAACAATAAAAAAACAAACAAATAAAGAAATAACCAAACGAACAAAACATTTTCTTTTGAATAAATTCATCTCAGTGAACCCTGAACATTAACTTTGCCACTGAATATGTCTTTCGTTTTATATTTAGGCGTTAAACATAGTAATGTACCGAAATGAACACCTGTATACATCTAGTTATTTACGTCATTTCGTACAAAATGAGAGTAAATGCTATATTAATGCAATATATCGGCCATAAGAGCGCTCAAAGTTCGACAATGGCGTGTGCGGGGAGGCGTATAGCAGTTTAACAACACAACTCATCATTTTATTTAAACTAGACAGCCAAAATTATAGACATATGCGGGTTCAAGCGCATATATTGTATACACGAGCCGCGTTATGACAAAACCAACATAATGGGTTTGCGATCAGCATGAATCTAGACCAGCCTGCGCATCCGCGCAGTCTGATCAGGATCCAAGCTGTTCGCTTACAAACCCTATTACAAGCAGAGAAACTGATAGTGAACAGCATGGATCCTGATCAGACTGCGCGGATGCGCAGGCTGGTCTGGATCCATGCTGGTCGCAAACCCACTATGTTTGTTTTGTCTTGGCACGACTCAGTCATATATTCATATACTACCGGTATTTTAACCGTTTGTTTAAGACGCATCAACATATTGTTGATGAAATATAGGAAAAAAGTGTATATAATCTAATAAATCTTCCGATTTCAAAACAATCCATACATATTGAACAGATGAAACAATATTTGCCAGTAATATGACATTCATTTCTAAGATAAGTAATAGTTATAGTACATGAAACGAGTTAGTTACGAGGATATAACACTGGCTGGGGCGACATCAAGGGGTGTTTCTGCTAAAAAATGGCGAGGCGAGGCCGAGACAATTTTTTTTGCAGAAACATCCCGAGATGTCGCCCCAGCCAGTGTTTTATCCCCGTAACTAACGAGTTTCATATACTATAACTGTTTTATTGCAATGACATAATGTTTTCTTTTTTTTGTAATAGAAACAAATAAATAAATCATTAGCTACATTACAGTTATTTATAATAAGGCAGTTTTTTCAAGTTGTTTTCGCTGTCGCAAAAAAAATAATATACAAAACACATCCAATGTTAGAGGCGGATTGTAAACTGTTACCAAGATTGATTGAAGATTAAAGATATTTATTTCAGTGGAAATAATTCATTCAGCGGATGTACCTTTTGATTAAATGAGAGTAAATTTCATTTCATTAATTATCTTTGTTTATATTTTTCATTGTATTTATATATTTATCTTATTTTATTTTATTGATTCCATTTTATTTTGCTACTGGGAATGGTCGTTACCACTGCCCCATTGGAGCCTCTATGAAAAAAACTGTATTGATATATACAAGGTGCGAAAAAAACTCAACCGATATATAACCGTCGAGTTTTTTTTTCAATATGAATCAATGAAAAAACTGTACTGTTATATATCAATACAGTTTTCAAATGCTCATTGAAGTGTACTGAGTATAATAGGTTAGTAAGAACAAAGGAAATGTTCCAAACCATGCGATAAGTGTTTTATTGCATATTTTTCCGAGAAAATAATTGAATAAAATGTTTTACAGACGTTAATCACGCGACATAACGGATGTGACGTTATCGATCTCTCTTTTTGATTCTCGACAATGAAAAAATACAAACATGCATGTATCAAAAAGAAATGAGATCGATCATTGAATGAAGTCAAAAATGACTTTTATTTAAAATGAGTTCTGCAATGCATGCACTATTTTCTCAAACTTGTGAATTTGATATTTGTAATGTTTTATTTTGGCTGTCAAAACATTAATTTTGTTGATGCTAAAAACGGACATTTTTGTCACTTTTTTGCATGTTTTCATACCACTGATGTGTAAAATAATTGATTAAACATTAATTTATCATATTCACATTTATATAGCGAATTGAAACTTTTCACCCAGACTGTAAATGGTAAAGTTCAAAGCACTGCTTCCGTGCTAAAAATGTACAGAAGAATAGCTTCAGAAAGTAAGTCAGTCAGTCAGTCAGTAAGTAAGTAAATTTTTTACTATATTGAAATGTGTTTGAAAAATATGAATAATAATTAATCACGATCTTTTATACAATGAGCCTCTCCTTTACAAAAAAAAATGATAACTTTATTTTGGTGTTTGTTTACATGGTATACTAGTTAGTTATTCACTGTCCGTCATGTTATTAAATGAACTGCTTGAAATAATATTTAAAAAAAAACAAAAACAAACAAACAAAAAACCAACAGTTCTTATAGCATTGTAAATAGGATAACAGTTGTTAAACATGACATTATAAAAAGTTATTGCATCTGCATTCATAAACCAATTATTGATTGACTTATTGATTTAATTGGCTAAACTATGCTAGCTGACCAAGTGACTTTGTTTAAAATACAAAGTTAGCTACGCAATATTAAAAAAAGGCTTTAAGCATGCTGATGATAAATCGAATCAAACTACACTAGAATACTTGAAAAATAATCTTATTAAAATTTAATTTGATTCAATAATTCACCTGAGTACTTAATAAAACTTTTTATATATAAAAAAACACTGCATTACCTTGGAAGTAAGTATATTTGCTTATGCAGATTAAAAAAGCAAGGGAAAAAAGATAATAAAAAATGAATAAATCAATAAAATAAAAAAATGTGTCAATATAACGAGGTTTCATAGTTTTAATTGTAAAAACATTTTGTCGGTATTTTTCTATAAATAATTATAAATGTTTAGTTTAAACTAGTCATAGTTTATCAATGATTTTGTTAATGTTTTTTCATGAATTTTAAACATTTTAATGCTTTTTATGAATTATAAATGTTACGTTGATGCCATCTCATAATGATTATTGTTTTTGTTGATTCCAAATCTAAATAATAAGTGTTTCGTTTAAGATATACTAAGCTCAAATGTGATCTTTGAAAATATTGATAATTGCTTCTTTTGTTAATATAAAATAAAATGTTTTGACTTGACACAAAGTAGAGATGTTATGCTTTGAAACCTACACATTAGAACACACAATATGAATATATAGTGTTATTAAAAAAACTAGTATTTTTTAACGAAATGACCAGCTTTACTTGGCCTGTAATAAGGAACGCTGATTCCCTTACATAGTTTGAACATTCTATTATTAAAGTAAGACATATTCGGTAAGAATATTATAAATTTCAATAAATTACTGCAATAAAGATTAGTTACTCAAAGATGAGCATAGTATATCTTTAATGTTATTTTAGAGTCACAAATGTTTTGTAAAGGCTATTTCAAAGTCATAAATGTTTTGTAAATGCTATTTCAGAGTCATAAATGTTTTGTAAATGCTATCTCAAAGTCATAAATGTTTTGAAAATCCTATTTCAAAGTTATAATGTTTTGTAAATGCTATTTAACTAATATGTCCATTATTAACGCCATGCTGACGTTGAAAATAAATGAACTTATAACACTCCATTTGTTATATTTAAGAATTTTAATTAATCGACAACAAAAATGTTTACCTTTATCTAAATCCATATAAAACTATGTTTCAATTTTGAGTTATTTCTTCCAAGTCACCGTCCAGTCGAAAAGTGAATATCAACAAAAGTTTTTGAAACTTGCACTGTTTATACATAATTACAAAGAGTATGATGTTATGCCAAAGAATATTGTTTACAAGTTTTGTTAACACATGAAGAAAAAAATGTCAGCGTCAAAACAAAATTTCATACCATATGAATAATTTTTACCACCATTCTAAAGCTTGTCATATTGTAAATCTGTTTGTTTACAATAGGTATTGTTTTATATACACCTACGATATACATCATAGTTAGCGTAACATTACTTTATTTTACGTTGATACAAATCAAGTGTCTTGCGCTCACAAGATAACATTTTTATCATCGTCTTGATTCGTGAAGCAGGAGAATTGTTGCTACTTTTAAATATCATATACATATATATATTATATCCATTAGGTCGTGATACTCCGCCATGTCTTATTGTATGTCTAAAAATAAGTT